TGTTACACAGTGGACCTTTAGGTTAATTTAAAGAATTATTCCAGTTTTTAACAAATTGGTCGGTTTAGTCTAACGTTAGTACATGTACTTTGTTACTGTACTTACAGTAAGTAGTTTTTTCAGGTATCTGTACTTTACTTGAGTATTTATTTTTCGGATAACTGTTTTCTTAACTCCACATATAAAGACAAATATCTGTACTTTCTACTTCTACCATTTTCAAAAACAGGCTGGTCACTTTAGTTTGAATGTAATTGAGGAGAATTATCAGTATATGTGTTTTACATCATTGCAGGCCTTCTCATCATCAAGACTGGTACATATCATGCATTGAAAGACAAACAGACAAGAGAAGAAAGTTTCAGTTAACTTTGCATAGAAACAGCCGGTAGAAATGTCCATCAGAAATAAGAAGTATGTTAAAATATGTGCATTATACTACAGTATATAACAACAATATATATGAAATAAAAAATAACATGTAAAAAATATAGATACTACAATATATAACAGCAGTGTTAATACTAAATACTAATAATTAGTACTAATAATTCTGAGAACTGGATCCATGAATAAGTGTGCTAATGGAAAAAACAACAACAAAAGAGTCCTTCTTTAGTTTAATTAGTATTTCTACTTTGACCGGAGTAGTTTTACACAAGTATCTGTACTTTTACTTGAGTAAAGAATGTGTGTACTTTTGCCACCTCTGATAAATGGCAAATTCATTATCCAAACTAGTAAACATCCGTCACAGTTTACAGACCAACTTCCTGCTTCGGCTGTGACATTTTGACTTTGCAGGAATGACTATGGACAATCTTAGAGAACCTCTCACATAGTGTTAGTGATGAAAAAAGCAGAAACTGTAAGAACAACACAGATATCAGTAAGGGAAATGTACAGAGAGAGAGAGAGAGAGAGAGAGAGATGTGCAGAGTTGTGTTGAGAGGAGAGGAAGTGGCTGTTAATGGTTGTTTGATCGATCAGAGGAGCAGCTGTTCCTATCCTGGAAGAGAGAGAGAGAGGGCAGCAAGAGCATTCACTGGATTTCTCTGAGAGAGAAGCATGCTTCTGCTCTTACTGTGCTGAGACCAGCGGCCCGGACAAAGAAATACTACTTTTATCTACCCTCAGACCAGAACAATTATTGTTTTTTCCGGTTAGCATTAGCTGTTCTGGACAGTCCCAGCAGACCACCTCTTCAGTAGCAGTCTGCTGCTCCAGTAGACCTAGCATTAATTCTTTGGTAGACCTAGGACTACCTGTTCAGTAGATCCAGGACATTTGCTCCAGTACACCAAAGAACGCCTCTTCAATAGACCCAGGACTTTTGCTCCATTGGACCCAGGATTACTTCTGCATCTTTTCAGTAGACTGAAGACCGCCTTGTCAGTAGACCCTGCTTCAGTAGACACAAGATCATTTCTTCGACCCAGGAACGCTGCTCCATCAGACCCAGGATTACCTCTTCAATAGACCCTTGACTGATACTCCAGGAGACCAGGATCCACTCTTCAAGATACCCAGGACATTTGCCCAGGACCAGACCCAGGACCACCTCTTTAATAGACGAAGAAACACTGCTCCATTAGACCGGGGAATGGGGATCACTACTTTAGTAGACCCAGGACTGTTGTTCCAGTAGACCCAGGACTACCTTTTCAGTAAATGAGGTCAACTGCAGGTCCACTGCACCAGTAGACCTAGGATTACCTCTGCAATAGAACTGGGGTTTTGCTCAAATATACCAAGGTTTAATTGTCCTGGTTTTGCTGCTCCTGTAGACCGAGGAGCACATCTTAGCAGACCAAGGACTACTACTACAGTAGAATCAGGACCACCTCTTCATTAGATGCTGGATTGCTATTACATCTCTTCAATCAACCCAGGTCCACTGCTCCAGTAGACCCAAGACCGTCTTAGTAGACCCAGGAATGCTACTCCAGTGAACCGTCAGTAGCTGAAATTTTGGCTTCAGTACCCCAAAACCCAACACTAGAAGTGCCAAGTATACAGAATAAGAATCAGAAACACTTTATTGGTCCCAGGGGGAAAATTTGTTAATTTGTTACAGTAGAACCAGGAGCAGTTCTAGTGAGGTTCAGAAGATTTGGGAATGGTACACACCTAGGACAGGCCCCAGCTATATTACAACATACTGGACACAGAGAGAACTCCAAATTTTGCTGCTGAGCTGCTGAGCCCCTCCTCCCTGCCTAGTCCATGCTGCTGTTTCTGGTGATGGACCCAGCTGAGGATAGGGAGAAGTTGGAGGACCAGTGGGAGAAATGGTACACTGATTCTTAATTTTACTTAATTTTCCATGCTGTGCTAGTATTTTTTCCTCTTCTTTTTTTCTTCCTTTTGTTCTTGTATTTCCATATTTTCTGTTTTTATTGTCATAAAATACTGGCTATTGGTCTAAACCAGCTACTTGGGGTTTTGGTGTCAGATTAATTTTGTACATTTTGTACACTTCTGACTCCTAATTACTTCCAACAAGGGGTTATGGAGTTTTACTGTTTGGAATCACAGTGGAGCCATAAGTTGACCTGCCTGCCCCAAAAAGTGTAAAATGTGTGCTGAAACCATGGAGTTTTAGTTAATCACAGGCCACAGCCATTAATCTGACCCCTTGCCTTTTCACTAAGTCACTTTCACTGTGTTGCAGCGTAAGAATGCTATCTTGAATATGAACTGACATCACAAACTCAAAGCTGGATCTGAACAATAAAGATTTCAAACTTCAGTCCGACATGACCTGCATGACTTTAACCCTGATTTGGATTTAAAGCTGTAGTAGGTAACTTTTATAAAAATACCTTTTTTCGGCTGAAACTTTCACTATATCCTGACAGTAGTACAGGAGACAGATAATCTGTGAAAAGACCAGGTTCCTCTGGCTCCTCCTAGTAATAGACTAATTATTACTAATAAAATTTGCAACAATCCACTGAACGAAAGCAACCAATCAGAGCCCAAAAAAATTGTTTAATTGTTGAGTCTCATTCCTATGGCATCAAATACCCCGGTGACTCTGGGAATGAGACTTAATAATCAACTATCTTCTAACCTCTAAGCCCTAGTCTCTTTATATCTTTCTTGGCTCTGATTGGTTGTTTTTGCTCAGGTCCAGTTGATTCTTGCAAATGCCATTACGAAGGGCTACAATGAGCCAGAGGAGCTTTAATTAAGTCGTATTTACTACTGTAAGGAAAAAGTGAAATTTTCTCCAAATATGACAAAAACATTTGTCTTTATAAAAATTACCTACTGCAGCTTTAACGTTTGGTGAATGAATCAGTTATGACAATACCAACTTGGCAGCACATCACAGATTGGAAATTACTGTTCCAAAAAACAAGTCATTTCTTGGAAAGGGTTGTGTTTAATTTCCCCCTACAATACATTGCTACTATTTCCAGTTACACAATAAGTCTATATTACTCAATATACATACCATATTTCTTAAAATAAGAAAAAGAGTAAATTCTTTCAGACCCAGATTGCATTGTTTACTGAAGAGGAAATATATTTTACCTTCCCTAGAAACTAAACTTAACTAAAGTTTTAATTAAATGGATTAGCACAATATCATTAAATGTGCTATTGTGGTTGGTGGTTTAGAAACTGTTAGACAGTCTGATTATGTTTTAGTCACAGACGCAACCAGATGTTGAGTTGATGGGCTAGTGTTGACAATATATTTATTCTACTCCTCAGGTTGACCAGTGACTTCAGTTTGAATGAGTTTGAAGATGAAGACCTATCTGAACTTACTGAGATCACAGATCAATACCATGACCAGGTAGGAGAGATGCATTTTCAAAATGTTCTTAGGAGGTGGTCCGTTTGGTCACATAAAAGGTCCAGTGTGTAGGATTTAGTGTAAGCAGTGGCGTGCACAGACTTTTTGAAGGGCAGGGGCGGAGAAAAAAAAAAAGGGCACATAGCGCATCCTCACCACTGTAGAGGGCACTTTAGAC